AACCATAAGTCGCAGCATCGATACTATAGGTTTGAGCCTCAATGCGAGCCCGGACGCCTTGAACCGTGAATCCCAAGATACTGAGCTGTGCTATGTTGCACATCCCAAAGGTGTAGCAATGCATCAACACCGTATGAGGCCTTGAAACGACATGCTGCAAAATCTCCGGGTATTCCTTATTATACGCTCAACCTAAGGCATAAACTCTAGCGCTTCAAGACCAGGCCAACCTTCACCCCATGCTCCTGGGCGCGCCGGTCCAGCAAAGCCGTCCACCGCAGATCCGGTCTCTTGTCTTCCAGAGTCCGTCCGCATTAGGCGTTATCTTCTTCGCGGCTGAGGGCGGATAGGATTTTTTATCTGAGTTTCATAGTTTGTTTTCGTTATGGGGATTTGCGGTGTGTGTTTTTTGGGTGTTATAGGGTGAAAAGTTGTTGGATGTAGCTCGAGTTTTTTGTTGTCGCGGCTTGATTTTGGGTGGAGCTATTATAGCGGTCGGAACAATCAAATCAGAAATGCCATTCCCTGGGGCGCTTGATTACAAGTATCTACACTATACTAGTTGCATCATACAATACTATGATATACCGCCGCCCCAAACCCTATTCGCCCCTGTATCACCTTTCTCAGTTTGTGTGGCAGCGGTTTCCGGTTTCGGACGGGTTTTTGGAGGAGGTGGTTCGATGTCAGGGATCGAGAGTAGACTCAGACGATTCCAGGGTCTAGGATTCAGGCATCTAGGTGGTCAGGCTCTCACCGGAAACGGGATTTCGTACTTGGGTTCCCGTTAGTGTATACAATGCTCGTCAGGCGTTGTTTGTGAGTGTACTTGGGTGTTTTGGGGGTGGGGTTCAAGCAGAAAGACACCCTACTTCACACAGTATTCTTGAACAGCAGTCAACATTCTAAAGGCTGAGATTGAGACTTAGGATTGCCAATGCTTACTGGCCAAATGAAAAAAGCGTGTGCAGCTGCTGAAGTGGTTTCAAAAAAAGCGATGAGACCCTGCCTGTGGAACTCCAAGCCCCTGTTGGCACATCATAATCCCAATGCCCTAAACCCTAAACCCTAAACCCTAAACCCTAAACCTAAACCCTAATCATGAAGAGGAGAGGTTGGGATCTTTGGGTTTTGGAGCACGGGCCACTGACGTAGACCTCTGATCAGTAAGTTCCCCAAAAGCAAGGGCTACAAGATGCTACAGCTAATGATATATTTGATGAACAGCGCACACTTCTTAGCAGCTGAGCCGGTAACTTCTAACTTTACAGGTGCGTAGGTTCGCCCTCGAGAGTAACACTCTGGCTCCGGACGTCCTGGAATCTTTACGAACAGTGCTGAGACTCCTGCAACCTTCTATCCCCTTAAACACGAAAATGCCATCAACGTTAATAACACAAGGATAAAAGGAACTCAGCAGGCATGTTAGCGGGTCAGCCGGCAATGTGCAACAGCTACTGTACATGTGCTTCGTGTGCAGCTGCATTAATGCAAGTTCTGGTCGCTTTCACATGGAGCCATGTCAACAAGCAGAGGCAAAGATTCTTCTAACATCGAACAGTGTGCTAGGCATGTCAGGCTCATTCTTTGGAGAAATCTGTGCATGGATTTAAAATTTAGCATGGAGTACATCACCGCGAATCGGCAGTACCTCTCTTTCGAGCTATGGCGTGGCTGAATCGGACAATGTTGCTTGGCTTGCTTTTGCTCATGTTGGTTCTGTCCCTGCGGACTTGGCGGACTTGGTGGGCTGTGCATGCGGAGCTCATCGCAAGTCCACACAGCTACAGAAATGATTCGCGCATTACCAACAAGTCCAAGCAGCGTGATTTGGTGGGGGAGACATCGCCCGCCTGCAATTCCGAGTATGTTTCGCCCAAAAAGGCTCGGTTATTTGCTGGACAGCTACTCCGTACAAGAAGAAATATGGAGTACTACAAAGGTTTCAGGTTCCAGTATGAGCAGCTCACCACATTGGGTTGCAGTCGAACTTTCAAGATCATCAACATCCCCTATGGAGGCATGCAGTTCACGCCACTCACCAAAGCGCCACAGGATTGGAAAACACTTGTGCTGGGGTGCACAGACCGTGCCACTCTCCAAAGCGCGGCTTGGACAAACTGGTACTACAGTGTAGATGATCCCTCAGACATGTCTTTATGCAACGAGCATTTGCCAGGCTCAGCAGTATTCTTCCGCGGCTTCTCTTTTGGCAGATTTGTTTATGGAGCTGCGAATCACGACATCCTGCCTCCTCTTGTGTGGCTGGCTGATAGCTATCCAGACGCGACACTCCTCCTGGAGGTGAACCCTGATGCCTTATATGGTGCGGGGCTAGCGACATCAGAGAAAATGAAGCAATTCTTGTCGTGGTTTGACCCAGCACTCTTTGCCAGGGCCAAGTTTGTTCCCAGAGGCTATACCGTGTGCGCTGACTCCTTGAAGGTGTTGGTGCCCTTTAAGGATATGGATCATCCGGAAAAGTTGCGCAGCTGGGAGCTCTTCCGCTACATGCGCCAGCACCTTTTTCTCAACCACCGCCAACTCCCAGTTCAATCAGTGGTTTACTTAGTTCGTGAGCAGAAAGACTCTTTGCACGGAAGGTGGCTTGTGCCGGAACATGTGGACAGCGTGCTCATGTTGGCAAAGGCTGCGCTGAAAAGGTATTCACGGCCAGAGCAACTTGTGGTGTTTAACGGAACCTGGGAGGGGAAGACAGCGACAATTGCTCAGCAGTACAGGATCTTCAACTCTGCAGCTGTTGCCTTTGGCCCACATGGCACGGGTTTCTCGAACGTGATATGGATGCCTTGCACTGGGAGTCCAGCTGCAATTGAGTTCATTTGCTCTCAGAATTCCTTCAAGGTCAGAGGGTGCACCCACGAGGGTAATCCAGACCTCATCCGGTATGCCTCATATTGGGGCATGCATGGAGGGGCTACCTGGCTACGCTACTACCACGTCTTTGTCTACGATGCGGGCGACAACCTTACAAATTTCATGAAAGTGGACCTGCAAGGTTTTGAGCAAGCGATGCATGCCGCTGTAGCTGGCCTGCCGAAGCCTGTAAAGTACAACCTCTGACCACTGCCAAGTCGGCAGGGGCGTTCGCAGAAGATTCAAGATCCCTACGGAAACGCGTGTGTTCCGTGCTAGCTTATGTTTTTGTGCTTGAACCACGTGTCTTCAAAGCGACATCCAAGCCCTACTGACGCCCCCGAAGGCTTCAGTCAGAAAGCTTTCACAGACCGTGCAAGGCTTCAAACGCTACCACGGCATATGAAAAGGTTCGCCCTCGGTTTTGGGCCAAGGGAGTCACTAGGACTTTGAGAGCCAAGGGCTTAGAGTTTAGGGTTCAGGGTATTTCAACTCTCTGAGGATCTGAGGACGTTTGCCGCTCTGGCGAGTCTCTTTGGCCGGAGATGTTCGACTGGGTGAAGGGCACCGGCATGGACGTCTCCGACATTCAGGCAGCTGTCTGGGTGGCTTTGTGTCTCTGTCTGTGAGTAAGTGAGTGAGTCAGTGGGTTGGTGTCCGTGTGTGGGTGTGTGTGTGTGTGTGTGCGTAAAAAAAACTTGGCATGAGTATCCCAAAACCCTCGACGCCAAGATGAGAAGCATGTAAAGCCCAACCCCTATAAACCCTAAAAACTTCTGTTATTTCACAAAAGGGCTTTGCAGCGGTTTCTTATGGTGTCGGGGGCGTGGGTTCGCAAGGTCCTATCCTCGATTCTCTCCCACAGGAGCGAACTAGGACACATTTAGCCTTGCTGTTGGGGTTCAGGGCCATTAGTTGAGGGTTTAGGGTTTGGGAGTTTAGGGCTTATAGGGGTTTAGGGTTTAGCGCCATAACATAGACGAAAAGCGGCAGGCCAAACCGTCATAAGGTTTACTTCCCACAGAAGCTTCAGACAAAAGAGTGTTCGCGGCTGAAATATGAAACCGTGTTCATCAGGAACGAAAAACCTGACCCAGATGAGCCTGGCCCAGTTCCGCTAAACCCCTCTACGCCACAAGAGGCCTTTAGATGCAGGAAGAGTGATAAGGGGGGGCCCGGAACCCGCTGAAGGCCCAAGCATATACTAAATGATAGATGGCGACTCTAAACTCTGAATTCCTAAACCCTAAACCTGAATCTCCGGCTCCTGGCCTCCGAGATTCCGGATGTTGGTTGCGGTGGGCGGAGGGGGGCAGAGGACGGGGGGCGGAGAGACGGGAGCCCCACTCAAATTCGCTCTAAACCATTCTAATTTTAAACTGTTCGAGAGCAAACTAAGTCACATGCCCGATCCCTATGAAAGGTTCACAATCTTTGATATGGCCCAGTTCCAACTCTAAATCGCTCTAAACCGCTCGGCCGGCCCACCAGAAATGGGCCCTCGCCCAAGTCACCCAGCATGCGGGGCCGTTCATTGAAAAGTTCGCTCATACTAGCTGTCCCTAGAACCAATGACGAGTCGTGGAGACAAAACAGAGGTGATGGCTTCTGCTTCTGCCAGCGGTTTCTGTCTGATTGTGTTGCGATTGACTAATTCAGCCTGGAGAACATCCACTCGAAGACCATCGAGCGGTTTAGAGTGCTTTAGAGCTGTATCGAGTGGTTTAGAGTGTTTTAAAGTGGGATAGAGTGCTTTAGAGGGATGTAGAGTGATCAAGAGTGATCAAGAGCGATTTCGAGGTGCTAACGGGGGCAGGGACAGCGGGGTCAGGCAAAACACTCCTGAGTTCATCTCGCCTGTCACTGGTAAAGCCTATAGTCAATGGTCGACAGACTCAAGATGTGCATTGTTGGCGCGCACGTACCGCTCTGGGACTGTGAGATGATAGAAGGGGGTCCGAGGCTACAGTACAACAGTGCAGGGATTCGGGCTTGGAAGCTAAATCAAACCAAAAACCCTAAGCGGCATAGAGAGCCAGGGAAGTGTCAGGTTGTCATCGCTTTCCCGAAGCACTTGGCCTCAGTGTCCCCACGACGAATCGTAGCCTGTCGCCTAGTGTGCCATGTCTCGCAAGATCATTGCGGCTTTTGCACCACGGCATTAAAGTTTAGGCTTGAGGGTTTACGAGACTCGGTGCAGCCTGTTGATCTTCTGAGATGCTAAGCTAAGCTTCTGGTAGGAGGCCCTAGATGCACACTCCCAAGGCCCACACACGTAAAGATACACAAGCCCAAGGTTCGGAGACTTCGGTCTGCTAGCTTCTATGCAAGGCCGAGTTGGCTGAGTTCGGATATGCGGTGAACCCGGAAGCAGCCGAAAATCCTGAAGCCCAAGCCCTACAGCCCCCAAACCCTAAAGACATAGCTCAGGCCATTGCCCCGGCTGTCATTGCCAACAGCTGTCCGGGCTCGTCATCCTGGATCCATGCCAGCTGCCAGGCCAGGCTCATCACTTTCTCTAAATAGTGGGCTCAGGAGTCAGTGTCAGATTGAATATTACTCACGAGTCTCCCCCGTAGTCCTTAGTGGCCTAGGCTGCAGCTCGATTAAGGCGGACAGGGGTGAGACAAGACTTGGCGCGGGCGTGCACCGTCTGAAAAAGGCAAATTAGCGGACAGCCTTGCCTTTCTGCGCCTGAAGTTCTTCAGGATTTAGGAAATTTAGGGTGCATGGCTTTCGGCCCAGACCCTAAGCATTCTGCACCCAAACCAACACCTGGAAGCCTGAACTCTCAAGATGTTAGGCTGAGAAGATGGGTAGTCTCTAAAGAGTTCCTGCAAAACCCTTCTTCAATCCCCTACAAGACCCTTAACCCACACTAACTCTAAACCCTTAACTCACAGTCCACAAAACCCAAAACTCTGAGCCCTAAGCCCTAAAGAAATTCCGACAGGTCGCCGTGACCGCGGGTGCCACCTGCTCTGAGGCCGCCCCAAACACAGTTTAGGGATGTTGAGGGGACCTTTTCTTCGTTCCGAAGTGTTGTATTTGAAGAGTTTAGGCTTCTTACTTTTGACCTTGAAGCTATGAAACTAAATTTCCGATTTACACTCGGGGATCTTGCCAAGCTTTAGTTTTTCTGGCTCTGAAGTTGCAAGCTGTCAGCTGATCAGGTTTCCATGGCTTGAAGGCATTGAGTGCACTTACCAGAATCCAGCTTTGTTTGCTATGTAGGCGCTGAACTCAGCCCCAGTATCAGGACAGAGGTATCTGAAAATTTCAGGGTGGCTGGACCAATCGCTATTTTGGGTTGTCTTGGCCGGGGTCTTCATCAAGTTATGTTGAAGGGTAGAGAGTATGTAGTTCAGAAGCAAGCACGGCGAAGCCCACAGCCACTGAAACATGCTAAGGTCATGTCCGAGATGGAAGCACGTGTGGCAGGCATCAGTACCGGTGCGTGGCATGACCCGCACAACAACGGCACCTATTCGCAGCAGGATAAGGGAGCAGGCGAGCTTTCGTTGCCCGTCATTGCAGGGAACAATCTTAGCGAAATCTGGCTCGCCTTCCGTATATGCGGATTTTGTTCGGTACCTTTGAGTATTCATGTCTCGGCACAGTGAGATATCCGAGGTTCCAGCGTCTGACCGGCAACAAGAAGTACACGGACAAGCTCAAGTTTACCTTCCAGGACGCCCCCTCGGGCACTTGCAACATCCAGGGCTGCAGCGAGAGCCAAGTCTTCTCCGTTAAAGACTTCTCTACCAACTACTGCAACCTGCGCATGCTCTACTGCGGCTCGCACGAGGGGTGCAAGCCGGTGAAGACAGACTTTGCCATCACTGAGACTTCGGTGAGTCCATCCTTGGGAGCTTCGAAGAATGCCGCCGACTGCCTGAAGACCGTCAGAGACCAGTTCCTCGCCCCACAGCCGTCGCCGATCGCACCGCCTTTTCAGTGCCCACCTGCTGGCTTCGAAACAGCAACCGGCCGGAAAATGTGGGAAATAAGTTCTTTTTGCCTCGGGATGTGCGGTTCCAAGCTTGGCCTCGTTCTTCGCTGTTCACGTTGGTTTTTGTTTCTTATTGACATGACGCAGACGAGGATCATCATCATCACAAGAAGACTAGCAATAACCATAACAAGAACAACAACGGTGGATGCATCTGTAGCCCTGGGCCAGGCATCGAGCTTCGCTGAGAGTCTCCTGTTGTTGTGGCTGCCGTCATCATATGGCAAACATCTAGAGTGCTACCTGCAGATCCTGCTTGCCTGAAGATATGGCACGCGGCCTTCGGAGTTACATGTTACAGAAGATGCTTAGCGTAGATTGGGCCTGAAGATACCTGCTACGTACTGCCATCACAAACATCTATACATCTGCTCTTATGAGGTGAACAATTTCGACCTCGACAGCTTCATTTCGAAGCGCTGGTACATTCAGCAGCAGATGGAGACCAAGTACTTGCCGAAAACTCAGCAGCCTTGCAGCAATCGAGCTTAGCTTTTCGGGTTCAGGGCTCGAGGGCTCTGCTTGAAATCCCAGGACTTCCTTGTCTAGGGATAGAGCACATGGCCTTCCTTTTATTAAGTTACAGGAGCGCGGGGTTGGGCGGGTGTTTTTCCTTGGTCACGAAATCTCGAGATGCATGTCAGCACCAAGGTTCTTGTAGGGATCTCGTTATCGGAGCCATGGGTAGAGGTTCGGGCGGTTGAGGTTCTGGGTTTGGAGCTCAGGGTTAGGGTTCCTGAATTTTTCCGGACCCTATTGCGCAGCCGAAAATTGAGGAACCGTTGCGTTTATGCCGAGTACAAGCTTGAGCAGAAGAAGACATTCTGGGGCTACGATGTGGCTGTGCACAACCATGCAGAGGGAGTCGCCCCACCGCACACCCCCTATGACTCCGGAAGCAAACTCTGCGCCAAGGCCGAGCTTCAGTTCTGCGGGAGCATTCCTGCAGAAAGATGACCTAAGAATCCGAAACATGACGGAAACCCGTTGCCATGCATCTACTTCCTCTTTCATCCACTAATGCATCAGTCCAGTCTTCTTCTTCGCGAAGGTCGGTAACCCAATGTGGTAGAACCAGGACAGACTCAAAGAGTGAATCCGGGACCCCAGTGTATAAGAGTATAGATACAGATATAGATACACATATAGATACATGGAAGGAAAGATAGATAGGTAGGTAGATGATAGTTAGATAGATGGATAGATGGCTAGGTAGGTAGATAGGCAGATAGATAAATAGATAGATAGATAGATAGAGGTTCCCGAACGGAATTTCGGTAATTCCCGCATCATAAATCCCTCAGCAAAGCTCCATGTGGTCCGGCAGGTCGTCGACAAGGCTCGTGGCAAGCTGGAGGTGGCACCCTGCTTCCTGCCAACTCTGCTCGCTGGCCCTTACTGGGCCACCAGGCTGAAGTTTTAGGGCTTCAGGCTGCAGGGTTTCAGGGCTTTGTCTTAGTTCAACTTTGAAAGGGTCTGCATATCGCATAGATGTATGTATGAAAATAGATTCCCATACACGCATACGTGTTTGTGTGTGTGTACAAATATATACATGCAGATATAAACACATACACACACCTTACATACATACATACATACATACATACATACATACATACATACATACATACATACATACACACATACCTACACATACATACATACATACATACATACATACATACATACATACATACAATACACATACACATACACATACACATACACATACACATACACATACACATACACATACACATACACATACACATACACATACGCATACATGAATGATTCTGGGCCCCCCCTCCGTCCCGCATGTACTCCTTTTGTTCTGCCACTCCCTAGAGCAGCATGCCCGGAAGCTTCGGCCCCAAGCTGTTCCACTGGGTGGGAGGTGGGGAAGCAAACAAGTTCCACAAGTTGGGGCGGAATGCCCAGGTACATAATATGGTCAGAACATAGTGTATATAGGGGAGGGGCTGGGGGGGGGGGGGGGGCGCCGGAACACAACGATATGCGCCGGAACACAACGATGTACAGAGAGAGGTATAAGTTTTTGAGGGTGCCAGATTTGCTGACAGTCCCGTTTGGAGGATGAAGATAGGTCCCGCAGAGTGATGAGGTTTGTCCAAAAGGCCGACAGAACTCGTAACTAGGGTGGTAACAATCGGAATTGTCAGCATCGTCGTCATCTTCATCGTGGCCCTCACCATAGTTGCAATCTCGCATGCGCGACCTTGAAACATAAAGCTAAGCAAATTTCAGGACTCCAAGTCAGACCTAATGTTGCCTCCGCAACCGTGCTACCACCTAGGTTGAAGTCACTGCTTTCGGGAACGGGCCATCGCGCAACGTAGACAGCTAGGATGTGTGTGCACACTCCTCAACTCTGGCAAAAGCCCATGTTGTAGCTACATTAGCTACATGCAGCAGCTTTTGTGATCGCTGTCCAGACCCAGCCGATGAAAAGGTCTTGGACTACAACGAGGCAGCAGGCTATGCTTTGATCTCGGGTGGGGCACCCACCTTGCCTGCAGAGGCGGGCTGCCAGAGCACAACAGTCCTAAATCGCAAGCTAACGCCTCTATAAGACTGCAAGCCCGACGACCCAAGACCCGGACATCCTACGCCGTTCTTGGTAGTGATGCCTTATATTTACCTGTAGTACCAAATACTACAGAACGCATTAGGCTCTGACCATAGCTTAGACTAGTAGGTTCAGGCTACGACACAGAACCCAAGTCCTAGGCGGGCTGCATGACCGGATCGGGAACGAATGGCTCCGGGCTCTGGATCTTCACGCGCGAGCAGAAGCGCGACGAGGCCCTGGTGCAGAAGGTGCGGAGTGTTTCAAACCTTGAAGCCTCGCACCCTGAAGTCCTGGGCCCTAGGCCCTTCATGCCACGACTCACGGGCCTTTAAAGGAAGCCGCACCTTAAACCCTCAACCTTTGGTGACCCGTTTAAGACATGGCACCCAGATTCGAATGACTAGCATTGCCTTTATCTGCCTTCAGTGATTGGAAGTTTACAATCCACAGGTGAGGGCCATCGCAGCCCAAAAGGGCTTCGACCTTTCTGTCCTCAACGATGTGGACCAGAGTGCTTGTGGAAGCATCACACAGGTCGTGGTGTGAGGAGGCCCCATGGAAGGCCCTACAGACTTACCAGCTTTGGCTTACAGTCATGGCCTTTGTACAGCTTTCGGACTCACGAAAACCCATGCAACGAATAGGCTGCATGAGTCGATTTGCCAGTCATTGCCTGCAATTTTCAGAGTTGCCACTTGGGCAACCTTTGGCCTTCTTTGAGGACACATCTTGTGACTTTCTGCAAAAGCGCGAAGGAGACTCCAGCAATGCTTGATGTCAACCGCATGTCGCTGCCGTCTTGGACGGCAATTTCCAAGCTTAGACAGCTTAAACCCTACATCCAAATCCCGGACCTTGAATCCGACCTCGGTGACACGGAAGCCCTCACCCCTGTACCTTAAAGTGTGGAGGTACGCGTGGAGCCGACCGAAGACCTTGCCAAGGGCGAGCTCGGTATCGTTGCTACATCGAAACTGGTGGCTTGGAGATTATTAAGGTTATGGTCCAGGGCCTGGGCAGGCTTAGCTTCCTGTCGCAGGTTGAGAGAGGTCGGGTTTAGGGTTTAGAGTCGTGGTGGGGGGGAGGGGGGTTGGAAGGGAGAGGAAAGAGCGAAGCTCTGACCGCTTCGGCTGGGGCCGAGGCGAACATAGAGATTGTGACGAATGCTTGGTATGGCGGATTGAACGCATAAGTTGTTGTTCTCAAGAAGCCTAAGCCTGCCTTACAAGGTGTAGATCTTGCAGACTTATCGCCGACAGGTGCCAGGGGACATCCTCGCCTGGGCGCCCACCTCACTTCTGTCTTTCATCAGCAAAGAAGGCTTTAGGATTTCGAGCTTTAAGGAGACTCGGGGTTGAAGCCACACTCACAGCCTGAAAGTCCCCTTTTCGGTATTTGGCAACCTTTGGGGCCAGAGTAGTCCCTGTTGAAAGGCTGCGTAGCATTTCAGCTTTTCGATTAACCATTCTCCTCTTAATCTCCGGCCTTAGTCAGGGCTTGATAAAGAGGCGGCGGTGTCGACACATGAAATTAGTACATCCACTTGTGTGTATATATGTATATATATATATATATATATATAGGCAGTATAAATACATACATACACACCGAGGGTTGATGCTGTTGAAGTCAGGTCCGGGTCTTTCCTGTGATACCCCAAGATCCCATGTTTGGGCCCAGCCGTTCGGACGTCTGTATGGATGAATTCTGAATCTTGCTGCATGTGCGGCTGGTTCACATGCGGCCAGAATAGTGTGCCAGACTTCGAGATCGCAGTGTTGATGATTGTCTGAATCCCATCCGACGTACAGAGATCATATTTGGAATGTTTGTGTGTGTGTGTGCGCGCATGTATGTACGCATATATATATATATATATATAGACACAACTATATGTATGGAGGTCTTTTCAGGGGTATTGGTGAGTGTATATTCGCCGTGACGCCGTGGCTCTTGTCCGGGCAATGGATCACAATATCGATGGACCATGTAGGTCTGCTACAAGGGCATGACCGGAAGTCGAAACTGAAGACCACATCCCAGCAACCTAGGTCTTGACGTCTTATGATGCAGTGTTTTCTGTGTTTAGACTACGCTTTGTTGACTTTGTGGCCCCGGCTAACGGGTCAAATTTAAAGGGCTTCGAGGGTTCAAGGTTCAGGGTGAAGGATTTAGGGTTTGGGGTTTAGGTGTATAGAGTTTAAGAAGCTTCGTGGATCCCAGAACTTCCCAGAGCCCGCAGACTCTGCAACGCCAACTCTCGAACTCTAACATGCTGGAGCCTAGTGGCTTAGTTCCTGCACCCCTGTACTAGAAAGCCGCAATATGGACCCGAAATGCCCGAAAACCTCCTTCCGAAACGTCCGGTGCTGGCCAGATAGCCACTGAGGCTCAGCAAGCCAAAGGCTCTTGACCTCTGGGGGGATGTGGTGCCTCAGCTGCAATTCCTCTACCTTGCAGGGCTTCGGCAAAAGCCCTAAGGGCCCCTGGGCCCTAAATCGCGGTGTCGATGCCTGCTCGACACTTCACGCTGAGGCCTGAATTCTGCAAGCTGGCGGATGGTGTGATTAGGTTCAAAAGCGTTGAGGTGTTGCGCGGTGGCCGGAGTTTAGTCTTTTCTGAAGGGGGTGGATTGTCTGGATTAGGGCCCTAGAGCACCACACCGCGCAAGCCTCCAAGGCCAAGCACCTGAACTAAAAAACCATAGAATCAAGTGTGATGTCCTTAAGATCCCGGGTTCTTGCACGCCACTTTTGTGGGTGATGCAGACAAAGTCGAAGAACTGAGAGCACAGGTTGAAGCACTTTCCGACCGGGTGGCTTTGATCCTGCTGCTCATTCAGGAGACCATGGGTTTCAGCGTGGGTGCGGATATCCTTCCCAAACTGATACATGAGCATGAAGGATCTGGTATGTAATTGTTAAGCTGTGGAATCTAAATAGGAACAGGCCTTAGTAAAGAGGATTGGGATGTCGGGGTCGGCCGGACAAGCTTTATGGACCAGACATCTGAATCTAGAGACGTTTCAGGCACATGCTTCACACTGCTCTACCAGTTTAGCTAGAATAGTGTTGCGGGGTGTGTTACTTCCATTTCTGATTCTTCAGGCTTCCAACAGCAGCAGCACATTGCTACCCTCCAGCCTCACGAATAGTAAACCACCAGAGCTGCGTCTGCGTCCTCGCCTCGCACGCCTGCAGCACACTAAAACCCTAAAGCCTAAGTCGCGTTTCGAGCAGGAGCGATATGTTCATGGCAAGGACTCCAAATGGTCGAGGGCTTAGCTGCAAGCCAAGAAAAACCACGGCATAGAATCCATCCCCGAGGGTCCAGGCACATGAACATTTGACACGCTGGCCTTTGAAGCCTTCCTGCTTGCAGATTTGAGAGCCTCAGTATATGTGTATATAATATACTGCTTCAGTACTGGGGAGTAAATCCTAAAACCCCAAACTCCCTATCAACCATACCGTATAAAACCCAAAAGAATGCCGATTAAGCCTGAGGATCTAGTTCTCACTGATACACCCAAAGCCCTACGACCCTGAGGGCTTAATGGCCAAATGGAAACTGTGCGAACTTATTTGGACATGAAAGAGCCTCACTTAAGAGCCTTTGCAGCCCTAGAAGAATGCATGGAAAGAGCCTCGCGATATCGAGGTATGTGTACATGCGCTCCCTTCCCCAGTTCGACGGGGATGTGTCGGGACCCAGCTTCTTGTGGACGGAGGACATTAAGGGTTGAAGGCGTTCGCGGGAGGGTTTTGAATTAGGGCTTGAGGGTTTGGGGTGCAGCATTGAGGATTTGGTATTAGTTATTAGGGGTCTTGTGGGTTGTCGTGCTTGAGTCTAATTACAGGCTTATGCTGCGAGTTTCAGTGTTATCATGTTCAGCGTTGTCGGAGTTGGCTCCGGCAGTCCAGCCGTGCTGTTTGGATAAAGGCGGGCTCGGGTTGAAGAAATAGTTTGACTTGATCATGCACTGTCCATGTGTTCTCTGCTTTTGGCTTATCGGCTGTAGGATTGCCTGGTTTGCTGACCGGAGTTAGTTTCAAAAAACGCATTTGGGAGTATCTGCCGTGTCAACTCTTTGTTGTTGAGTTGAGGGCTGCTGCTGTAATTATTGCTGAAGCACTCCGATAACGGGGTGTCCCGGGCCAAAATGTGTTCATCCCCTCTGAGCGTTATCTTGACGACTCCGGGGCCTTCGGTTGCGCAAGGCATGCAAGCCGATGGAACGAATGGTTTGGCTGTGGCTCTTGTGGGGTTTGAAACCTGACCAAGCGGAGAGGTTTCGGAGTTGGAGTTGTCGCATTTATCGGAAAGGGATGCTTTCTGGCTTGGCATTTTTCTGTGCCTCGTATGCAGGTTGTTGGTGTTTTTGTCACCTTGCCAGCGCATGAGGTCGGTCGTGTATAGGGATCGGAATAGCGAGTAAGATTACTCGTGAAGGTTTCCAAGCATGGGTTTAGTAAAATATATCTCAAGATCCTGGCAAGATCCTGGCTTGATGATTGATGCAGCTGGGAGGACGAGCTCGAATGGCTCCAGGGCAGCGATGGCTATGGGGCGGCCGCAGCCATGTGCCTTGCCAGCTTCCTGTTTTCCGTTTTGTCATTTCCAATTCGCAAAGCTGCAACCCTAAACCCCGCGAAAGTAACATGGATCCTGAAAAGCGGCTCCTTACAGATCGACTACTGTCCTGTCAAACACCGTCCAATGAGATTCTGTTCAAGGAGGGAAAAGCAGGAAGTCGCTGACCGATAACAAGGCAAAGGCATCGCGAAAGAAGACACGCACTTAATAAGGACTGCAAGCAAGGGTGGGAAACATTCAACAGAAGACTCACGATGTGGTGAGAGCCTCGGGCTTACAGGTACAACACCATTGTGGACGAGTATGTGACGCTGAATGTGTCTCGTCAGCGTACCGTTATTCGCTGCCAATTTCGTGGTTCACTGGTGCTATTGCAAAACTAATAACCCCCAAGTTTTACCCTGAAGCCTAAATCCAAAAATACAAGCAGCCGAACCATGATTCCTCCGAACCTTTCATGAAAGCCCAACCCAACAAGCCCTGCTGTTTCAGGTTGAAATGCAACCTGAAGGGCTTTTCGAAACATTGGAACCCTTAGCGCTGCTCGGGCGCCTTTATAAGATAGGGGCCTAAGTAACTACCTATACTATTTTAGGGGGTTCCTTTTTCTGATTATAGTAGATATGCCCCAAACCCCATTCTAATTAGAGCCTTGGGGTGTTAGGCTGTAGCTTTTTCATAGCTTGCATGTTGGGTTCAGAGAGTACACATCGGAGCGATGTGTTTTTCATGAGTCGGAACGCTATCAATCTTCAACCCTAAACTCCGAAACCTGAGCTGCAAATCACATCCAGTCTTGCCTGATTTCTGGCCCCAGTATCGTTGAGCTTTGAGGTGTTTTTGTACTTATGCCGGGGTTCATTATAACCAGACTTAGACTCTAAGGTCCACGGTTGAAGGTTTAGGGTTTAGGGCTTAGGGCTTCTCGTTTAGGAGTCCGGGTGTTGATATTCAACCCCCAGCGTACAAAACGCGCTTGAAACCCTTGGAACCTTATGTAAAGCCCTGGTTAACATACCCCCATTTCCTCTAAAGGGCTCCAGGATCACTTACAATGCTTGTGACTGCAAGGGGTGGGAAGAACCCGAGCTCCACATGATCATCGACCCATGTAAGGCATTGCCAAACCTTGCTAAAGACCTAATGATAACAAACCCTAAACCCGAAACCGTAAACCTTGAAACATAAATCCATTGCAGCAGGAGTCGCTCTTCCAGGAGCACTCGGAGAAGTTTCCTTCCAGCGACTTGAGCCTCCAACGGAAACTCGTGATCGGGATCAGGGTTTGGGGTTGCTGAAACTCATATGGCAACCCTTACAATACAGCCCTGTGTTGAAGAGGATGGTAACAGTTTTATATAATACATATCATATATGATATACATATATTCATATACATATATTTATATATGAAGCTGGTACTATTGTTCCTCCTATTTATTACTATTATTTATGACACACGTGATCCGTGTCTGTGTATATGTACATATCTAATAATATATAGTCCAGCAGAATGGGCGTTTTTCAGATTTCCTGCTAGTTTCTGGGGCGGGCTGCTTGAACCGAAACGCCGAAACCGTCGTTGGCCGAGGTGTGTTCACCTTCGACCACTTTCTCTGGGGTGCGGCCACCGTGGCTTCACGAGCCTATGGCGATGATGCGGAAGGCAGGTATATGGGTTTTACCGTCTTAGTGGCTTTAGGTGAGAGGGTACTGTATGGGCTGGCCGGCGGGATTCAGGGTAGCTATGACTCTTGTGGATTAAGAAACTATGCAGTGACATGCAAAGGGTCAAAAGCTTTAAGGTGTTGAGCTATGCTGCATTTGGGTTGTTCGCCTCCCCCTGAACCCGACACCCTCAAAAACACAGCGATTGAAACCAAACCCTATAACGGTAGAACTATTGAAACCTCAAAGCTCAAAATGCATAAACCCTATGCCAGGAACACACCTGTGCATCGCACCATTGGTAGATTTCCTGCTCCTTGGCGGCTTAACTGGGGCAGGCGATCACAGTTGGTATGGCGTTCTTGCTGTTTGGTCAAGCTTCTAGGGCGGAGTACAGTGTTTAGTTTAGGGTGTAGGGCTACATATGAGGTTTTAGGCTTGAGGCTTCGGGGCTGAGATTTTGAGGTTGTCAGTTTTTTTAGGTTTTAGGTTTGTTGGGCCGTCGGGCTGCGAGGATTTGTGGTTTCAGGCGTTGGGTTACGATCCCAGGCTGCAGATTTCTGGAGTTTAGGGTTGAGGCTGAGAACTCCCATTCTGAAGCAAAACAGCGCGAGGAACCACCGCGCCGGCGCCCTGCAGCTGACGCGATTTGGTAACGGCATCGTTGCTTACGCCCACAAGCACTACGACGTCTGCCGGCTTCGACTCGTGTTCAGAGTTTGTCCAGAGTATGCAGTCATAACCTAAGAAGCACTTAAGAGGACCCGTGACAAAGCACCCCGGCATAAGGTACCCTTGTCTCAAGAAGCCCCATATGAAGCTCAAGTTATGTCGCCTATCGTAGTTTTCACTTCAGGGCTCTCCGCTTTGATCTTTCGCGGAGACGGTGACAGCGCCTGCCGGTAACCGAGAAGACAGCAAGGAAACTTCCACCCGAAGCCTGAGGTTCGTTTGAGCGCTAGAGCCTGCAGCCGGAAATCGCTGCACAATTGGGTGTTAAGGGGCAGTTTGGACAAGCACCCCAAGCCTAAGGTGGGGGAGCAAGTCTGGGTAAGCTACGGCGGGAAGAGCAATGCCGAGTTGCTGTCGCAGCACCTTAACTTCTTGAAGATGGTCCAAGGCCAAGACTCTAAGATTCATGCTGCGAGGCTTTCTGAGCCTACAGGGTTCTGAAGGACGCAACATGGGTTTGCAACAGGATGATACAGGGTTTGGGTGGACTTACGAGGCTGCAAGGGTTTCGAGGTCTATAGCAATTTCAGTCAGGACTACAGGCTTAGCACGTGCCGGCTAGGGCTGGCATCTTTATCGTGCACGCAGTGGGCATCTTAGAATGTACGGGACCTGTCACAACGGCAACTTCATCCTTCGGGTGTAAATTTGAACATGTGGGGCCAGGTCTACCGCGGCTGCAGTTTCGTGCTTCGGACTGCTTCCGAAAAGGCCTAGGACCGCTAGGAAAAGAGATTCTGAAAGCACTGTAGTCACTGCGGACTCACGGCAAGTGATCTGGGTTCCTTGCGGCTCGAACTGTTCCTGGTGCACCGCCCACGAAGCCCGGAAGGATTTGGGTTTGGAGGCGAGTGAAAGCCTAAGGCCCTAAATGGCGAACCCTGAACTCTAAGGCCCGAAGTCCAAATCCTAACCACGACCCTGCACCCGAAATCCTACACAAATTTACAGTGCTGTGAGGTATGGCTTTGTTGATCCAGACAATGGACAAGAGGCGGTTTACATCCGCTTGGGCGTGCATCTGCAGGCCACAGGTGAAAACGCAGCTCAGAAGCTGCGACGCACATTATCCAATAGTCAGGCAATTTAGCACAACGGCCGTTCATGATTCAGGGGGTGCTCAGGAGCTCTAAGATTAACAAGTGATGGTCTAGTTCTTGACCGAGACGCGACGCTTGTGCCCGGGATTGCCGGCAAAGCTTGCACAAGCTTCGAGACTTACGGCCCCTCCGTCAACTTCAAGATTCATTTATTCGCCCCAAACTCAGTACTCCCCCATGACCCTGGTAACTGAGATAGTAACTGCGGGGTTATGCCTATGTCATAGTATTGTCGTACCAGTTCTACCATTGCTAAAACGCAAACACCCCTAAACCGCAAATCGGAAGTCGGTTTAGGTAGGTCAACGTCCGGGGTCCGCGCTGGCCCATATCAACTCTCTGGCCTCTGCGTTCAGCGCTTCGGGTGTAGTGGGAACACCAACAATCAATTGCAAGAACCCCTCGAATGCCTAAACCCAATCCCAGGTCCTAAACGGGAAGCCCTAAACCTCGAAAGCGGAACCGTTAGGCGACCTTGATGGCTTGATAGTGGCCCTTGGCGATCGAACTCCAGCAGCTCTACCGTACTACAGAAACCTCCTCAAGGGAGCCCTGATTTTTTGCCACAGCTCTCATAGAGCCATTGTAACATCTTGTATCTCAATAAGGCCTTTAGTTTCAAGAACCCTCCCAAACGTGTCACGTTTTGAGTGAGACACTTGAGGAAGATGGCCTTGATCCAGGACCTGCTGGAGGGAGCCGAGCCTGAGGCAACTCTTGACTTCAGGGTCCTGAAACCCTGGGTCCCCTAAACCCCAAATCCCCCAACAGCCCTACATCATATTACTCGTACATCCAAATACTAAGCCTGCACCACACTTAATTCCCCACCCTCGAAAGCCTGAATTTCAATTCCGCAAACCCTCGAACCCAATCCCCTTGAGAGACTCTTCAGGGAGCCATCTTCAAGCTAGCCCTGCGGCCGCGGGAGTGGGAGCCGAGGTCGGAGCTCTTCCCAGGGAAGGACATGTAGGGTTTAAGAGGGTTTTGCTTCAAGAGGGTTTTAGATGAATCTACAAGACTGGGATACACTGGGTTGATTCCAAATGATAGGTGAAGAGAGCTAAGGGTGTTCGAGGGTTGCAGTTGAGGATTTAGGAGCTGGCTTTAGGTTTCGTCCCACCCGCACAGCGGCTGGATGCAGTAATGCTGATGGCGGACCCAGAGCGTAACAGTGGGTTGTGGTGACGGCGGTGATGGTTGTGACCATGACGAAGAAGATGCTGATGACGGGGATCATGATCATGGCTAGGGTCGGTGCCGCGGCTTAAGGCCTCAGATGCCGGTTCAAACTTTCTCGCACCCTCTCGGAACGAGCCTCCGAGGCTGCTTCCCATTCTACGCACCTTGGCCTGGAGCGACGAGGAGCCACTGCCGAAAGATGCCAAAGAGCTGGTCCCGAGGCCTGGTGTTTGACGGGTTGAGCTGCTTTTGTTTCGTTTGCCTTTAGGGTCTACATCGGGCTTTAAGGGGTTTAGTGCTCTTTCTCTTCACTTTATACGGCTTTAAGTTGTTTAGTAGTGCTTCTCTGGAGTAGCACCTGTCAATGAAGCTAAATCCGAAGGAAGAGCTAAATCGATGAGCACAATTTCTCTTCGCCTAGACACTATAGAACCCCAAACCCTACACCCTATTCGCCCCAAACCAGTTCCTCGAGTATCTCATGCAGCGGAAGTTTTCGGAATAGCAGTATGACTACCCCTAAAAGTCCCTATATCAGTATGAAACGAATGAAAAAGACATGATGGTGTCCCGCTTGCGTTTTTCTTGGTGACGCTGGTGGATCTTCGGTGAGGTCATACGGGGCAGCAGCCATTTTTGACGAATGACGCGCTAAGCGCTACACTCAGCCAGGAATTTGCGCTTTATAGGGTTCAGAGTGGTTCCCAGTCCACAAGCATCACTCGACCCCGCAGCTCTCAGGGCCATGGATCCTGAATTTGGCATAGGGCTTACTCAGGGGCAGCCGAGTCTCGGACAATGCCATACCCTAGCTACTACACACCTCGAAGCTTCAGCTACCAAGTAACAAGGTGCCTGTAGACAATGCCAAAAAGCCCATACTGTGCTTTTCCTCGAGGCAGTCTCCTGAAGTGGAGTCCCAGGCTTACGCGGTCTTAGAGGACGGCTTCGGGCTGTGCGGCATTGCATTTGGCGGTTTCAGAGAAGTAGAGATGTGTTTGAGTGCATATATGATGAGGATGATACAGGCCCTTCAAGGTTTATATGACTTTCTGAAACTCTGATTCATAGGGTTTCGTCCCAGGTCATGAGCAGCTGCTGGGTTTCTCGCAACGTTTAGTTGCGTTTAGGAATTCAAGCCTCATTCTTGTTGGAGGGGTTTACAGAGTTTTCGGTGGGCATGGCGTCCGTGCGGGCTTTCAACTCCTGGCTTTTAGTTGCCCTCTTTACGACGCATTGGCCTTTCTTTATCTTCAGCGGAATGCGATGTCTTAGACCCGTAGGGGAGCAAAGGGTCGCAAAAACAAAGACCTCTGGATTGAAAGCTGCCCCATCAAGCACGTGTTCAAAGATTGTTGAATGTGTTTGTTTAGGAGCTTCATGGGCTTTGCTTCTTTGTTGCGGGTTAGACTCAACATACCACTATCTCGCGATAGTCGGATTCGTTCGTTTGTCGGTGTTTCCTTTTTCGTGCTAAGCATCCAGCTATTTTGGGTTGATTTTATTAGTCCTTGTTGTCCCAAGCTTCCTCTTAGCTCTTGGCGCCTGGCGAATTAAGACCTGATCAAGTCAGCCAGGCTGCCCTCCTGCGGCGAGCATCGGAGTATCCCGCAACTTGACTATGTATTGCATACAACAAACCCCAGACCCCCAACTAAAACCCTAAAGCCCTAGGCCTAGAGTAGACCCTAGAGGCATAATGAAGTGTCTAACGGTGCCCTATCGTTTCTTGCCTCGTCAGGATGTCGCAAGGCGCTCCTTGGTGTAACGGGTTTGAAGCTGGGGTTTGGGGGCTCAGGGTCTTGGGATGTATACGTAAGGGTCCAGGATTGACTTTGGTTTGAGCTGGGAGACTATAGGAGTCTGGATAAATAGAACCGAGATGTCCTTGTCATCCCCATGAAACTGAGCAACAAAACGCCCGAAAACCTCATTCTCACAATGCAGCACCCTCTTCGAAGCTCTAGAGCCCTGACACTGGTCTCTATCATTCATAGTTCTTATGGTGGTGTTAGTGATGGCAAGAATCGGAGTGGCACTGGCAACGTTAGTCACAGATCGGTAGTTTTCGAAATGTCACAGAAAAAGCTCAACATGACGGAGTGACACAGGCCACACTCGCTGCCGACCGAGAGCAGTTGAAAGCCGGAGGCTGGCCTCTGAGGTTTTCGGATTTTGGGTGCGGTTTGAGGCTTCATGACTTGGAGCTTTAGGAGTCGCTTGCGCACTGGACGAGCAGCGACGGAGGAACTCACGGGTCGCTTTGGAGCTGCAGGAATTGAGACGCCAGCTGCCCACAGTACCTCCTTTCCTGCTACAAGTAATTATCTTTGTTTGTGCACTGGCCTTGCAGGGGATGGCCTCCGCCGAAGCTGTCTCTAGTCTGCCTCCTACCGAAGACTGGCCCAACGCGTTGAAGTCGATTCCATCGTGCCATATAGGGGCTATGCACCTATGCCGATTCCGAAGGCCTCAGTGAGCGGAATGCTCTGGGGCTGAAGCTGCGCGTTTCGGAGCAGGAGCCAGGGGGGCCGGGGCGGGAGGCTTCAAGGGGGTTTAGGGTTTTAGGGTTTAGGGTTTTGTTGCGGCTTCAGGAGCTTGGACTTGTGGGTTAAGGATAGGGGGCTCTGCCGTGGCTTTGGGCATAGGTTTGGGCTTGGGATCTTGGAGACGGTTGTACAGCGGCTACAGGCGTGTCATTGGGGTTTCCGCCTATCCGTTAGTTAAGCATTTAGTTAAGGTTTTGGGTTTAGTCTTTTGTGGTGTTGAGTTATTTTATTCCCTTGGGTTTAAGGGAATCATTTACGGGTCTTTGGAAAATCGTCACTCAGATCCTCCTTATTCCTGCATCCTGGAACCAGATTTTCTCAAGCCAAGCCAGACAAGCCACAAATCCTGGTCCACAATCCCTAAACGATAAACGAAACAGAAACCCAGCAGAATCCCCCCCCTATAGCAACCTTGAAGTAAACCCTTACACTCGCCCTTATCGCCACCCTGATTTGGAAACCCTGCAAGTAGTAACCCTTGTCGTCTTTTTATTGAGGAACTCATCGAGCTGATTCAGACGTCCCCCGGCTCCGGGCACTTCGGGAGTTTTAGGGATGTAGGGTTCAGATTGTAGGATCTGTGGTTTGAGTGAACGTTCAGGGCCGTCGGGCCCAAAGACCCTTGAGGATTTAGGCGTGCGCTCAGGATCGTATTTTATATACATGGGGGGGGGGGGGGCCTTGCGCAATAAACTCTAAACAGCAAACGCTAAACTCCAGAATCTTACACCCTCCGCAGGGTCTAATTGTGTGCATTGCCCAAGGCCGAAGGGTTGTGTGATTTGGGCATCCAGTTCGCAGGAGTTTAATGCCTGCACATCATAAACATCCAGAGCATGCTACATGCAATGAGTTGCAGGCTTTAGGCTCAAGTTTGGGTTTTCAATAGTATCCAAGCAGTGAGTGAAACCGAGCAACATCAGGAAATTTGTGACGTGTGTCGTATGCGGCACCTTTACGATTGATTTCATCCCATCCTCAGCCATGATGGCTGAAACCCTCGACCATGCCCCAAAAAAAAGCTGAACCCAGATTGGCCTAAGAATTAATCCTACACCCGTACACCCTTCAACGATCAACGTCAATACAAGCCTGAGGTATGCTGTCGGCGAACGATCCCGGGAGTCCGAGTCTGCTTGAAAAAAAGGGAGAGATCTTCCGACACGAGGCATGCTGCCGTTTCCCGGGTTGGAGATGTTTAAATAAGGGAGCGGCCGCGGGTCAACCCGAAAAGCGCACCGCACGGCATGCTTTCACACAGGATGACGCCAGCAAGCCGTTTCCGCTCCAGGTCTTTGAGCCACGTGCCTGCGATAGAGCACAACCTCATGGCGATGCTAGTTATCTTTCTTTGCCTGGTGCCGGTTTCTGCGTCCTTGCGCGCTTTTACGGCCCACTCTCAGCTTCGAGCGGCCCGTCGAGAGATGGGCAGGCGGCAGCAGGCATGAGTTTGTGGCCATGTGGAATGTGTCCGCGGTCACCAACATGCAGGGACTCTTTCAGAGTCTTCCCAACTTCAATGAAGACATCAGCTCCTGGGATACAGCATCAGTGACCAGCATGAGCTCCATGTTCCGGGCTGCGGTCAGGTTGCGAAGGCCAGGCGGAAAGCAACGCTTGCCACATTTGTGGCACAAACACACGAGGCATTTCTCCGAGATGATGCGCAAGTATGGTACAAATCCATCAACCATCAACCATCTATGCCCGAAAGGCGCCCAGAAGCCGATTCACCTTAGGGATGCCAAAGGTAATCTACTTAGTCGTGCCGACTCACCAGGCCCTCATGAAATACTAACAAGAACTTATACCATGACCCTGGCTTTACGCCTCCATCCTTTAAGCCTCTCTCCCAGCTGCCGTTCACGGTGCAAGAGCTGGAGCAGGGGTTTGCCCGACTTCCACTCACCAAGGCCCTCCCGCAGGGCTGGGACAAGTCCCGACTTTGCCTCTTGATTAAGCCTCAGAAGTCGCCGAGCAATCCAGCAGCGCTTCGACCTATAGCATTGCAACATCCCATCACGAAGGTTGTCATTGGGATCTTGGTCACGAAAGTGCAGGAAGCTCCTGCTAAGCCTGATGTTCATCGACCCTGGCCGCTCTACGCCTACCTGCCCCAGCGAGGCACATCAGACTGTGTTCTCACGATCTTTCAGCATATTCGGGAAGTGAGAAGCTCGGTCCAACAGCACAATAAGCGCACTGGCCGCCAATCTAGAGCTAAAGACCTTAAAGGAGGCTTGATGATCACTCTCGACTTGGAGAAGGCCTTGGATTCGGTGAGCAGAGAGCATGTCTCTGACAGCATCCGTATGCTCGGCCTGGAGTCCGAACTTGAGCAATTGATGCTTATGTTTTTGGCCGAAGGTTCCTATGAAATTGTGCACAAGGGGCATTATGGGGTTATCTCGGGCTCTAAAGGGATCAAGCAAGGGTCCGAGGAGGCACCTTATGAGTGGTGTCTGACTTCCATCATGCTACTAGGTCGGCTGGTCAAGATGAAGGGTCTTCGATGGGTTCAGGATCACATTGTGGTATATGCTGACGACTTTATTCTGAGATGGAAGCTGCATAGTGTCACCGACCTGCACCGGGCTCTGCAAGAGGCCGCCACATTCATCTCTACATTGGAAGCTTCTGGACTTCAGGTTAGTACTGACAAATCGGCTGCCCTCCTTGAGATCACAGGCGGCGGTAGCTACCAAGTTCAGCAGCGCTTTGTTCCTATGAGGCAGTCTGCAAAGGCCCTCAGTCTGCGCCCATAGACTCCAGTCCCAATCCTGAGCATCCATTCTGTGATAGCAGAGTTTACTGGCTGCTGCTTGTCCAAAGGTTTAAACCTTGGCTCGACTATCGGCTACAAGCAGCCTGAAAAAGACAGTCTTGATCGCAGGGTTGCTGCGGCAAAGCATGCTTTCAGCAAGCTACGACCTGTTCTACATGCGTATCGCGCGCGTAGCCTGCGAGCTCGGCTGCAGCTTTACTTCGCAACAGTGTGGCCCGCAGTCACGTATGGCATTCTTGAGGCCGGGATCCAACGGCAGGGAGCTCGAAAGATACACGGCATGGTCATGAGACACCTTCGCGGCATCAGTCGCAGCCCCGCGCACGTGACACGTGAGAGTAACCAGGCATTGCTAAGTCAACTTCAGATTCCAGCGCCACTTGACAAGCTTTGTGCTCTTTGGAGGAGCAAAGCCCAGGCCTGGAGCACACGTCAGAGCAATCTCCCTGCAGATGACATTTGCAAGCAGGTGCCTCAGTACCCTGATCCCACTGCTGCCCTGACAGGTGCTCAGCAGAGTGAGGGTGCGAACGTTGCATTAGCTACTGAGCCAGTCCTGCTGCGATGCGAGCAATGCCAGGAGGAGTTCCACAGTCTACCGGAGCTCAAGCGGCGCCGGAGACACGCCCATGAGCAAGGGCCTCGCATCTTTCAGGCGGATCTGTTTGTCCCGACGCGGGATGCAGTGCCAGGCACATGGAACTGCGCACACTGCGGCGACTTCATGCAAGATCGCAGGAGCCTTCGTTTACATATCTGCTTCCAGGCATGTGTTCGCTTTGATCCAAACAAACAAGGCACGCCGGGTGGAATCTTGTATCAGGATAACGTCAAGCAATTGAAGCTGAATGGCAAGCCTGTGGACTTGCTCAAGGATCCTGTCAGATGCAAGTCTCTGACCCAGCAGTGTGTGATTTGTGCCACTCAGATCCCGTATCCGAACCGTGTCCGGCAGCACATCAGCCTGAGCTTTATCCCAAAGCTGACTCACGTGCCGAACAGATGCATGCCTCTTTCAAATGCCGCAATCAAGCGCAGAAGTGCAGCCACTGCCAGGCCTTCCTGCACAGAGGGTTATCTGGGCATCGTTGTCCTGTTTTGCTTCAGCTTGCAGTCCTTCTGACAGCCCCGGACACTCCATCATCTGCGGATGCCCAGAGTGGCCTTGATCAGATCCCATCCGTTCCGGCGCAAGGCCGGCTCATGTCCGATCATCATCCTCCCAGCCCCCCTCTGGTAATGAGCGTCAAGGCGGATTCATCGCCTGCAGAGACGGTGGAGGCACCGCTGCCCGGTAACAGGATGTTGCAGGCTGAACCGCGTGCTCGCGATGGTCATTTGCATGTGGACAGGCCTCTGCCAGCACCCTTGCAAGCACTCATGGCTGATGATAGGAGGCGAGATCCGGAGCCCCAGCCGAAAGTTCGCAAACTTGCACCTTCAAGGAAGAAGTCTCAGCTACCGACCAGCGCGCATGTGCTTGACGCTCCAGGGTATCGGCAGCCCACATTCAGCATGTTCGCGGTGAGCTCCTCTCAAGCACCAACGCCCGGCCCACTTCTAACGCTGGGATCCTTCAGCTATGACCGTGAGCGCGGACGGGCCCGACTATGCTGGCCCTGTCACAGAAGTGGCATGCCGAGACAGCGACCTAGGCTGTTCCCAAGGTCCAACTGCGAACGCTGACGCTGGCAGCGGTCCTAAAGGAGTTGGAAATGCGGTTGATCAAGGTCATGGCGGAGAATCCGGAGGGAGCCGAAATTCGCCGACAGTTGATTGCCCAGAATCTCTTGACCGCGGATGGGAAGGCGTGGTATTACATAATGAAGTGGGACTGCGAGCAGGGAAAACTCCTGCCGACGAAGGAAACCCCATTGCAGATGAGCGACGCCTGTCAAGTACTCGCTCGAGTGTATGTCTTGGTTTAGACTCCAGGCCTGATTTTTCGCTTCTGTGCTATGAAAGCGCTGACCAAAGTGGACATGGAGAGTCCTTCGTCGGCATTCGCGATCGTTCTATCATGCTGGCAGGTGATTCTGTCACGGCTCAGGCCGGCAAACTTGCAGCGATACCCGGTTGCCCAAGCCATTGCGAAGCAAGCCGTCAAGGCGAGAGGTTGATGATTCAGGAGTGTGCTGATGAAAGCGCCGAATGGATTGCCTGTGCTGAGGGCTTGAAGCTTAGGGTCCTTGAGTGGCGGTGGGATAATCCAGGTTGGAACCTGTGTTACGCACATGCTAGTCTCACTGCTATGGCATGGTGCTGTTGCTTCGCGACATGGAACGGGGGTTTGACTCCGGATGCAAGCGCATGGCTGCGGCAAGTAGCCCAGAATACCAGTGCCAGCCATGTGAGTAATCTCCTGCAGTGTATTCCGTACTGTAAGTCCGCTCGGGACTGGTGGCACGCGCATCCTCTCGGAGTGCAGCAAGATGCTGCGGAGTTTACGACTGTTTTCCTCGCAGCTATGTGCGGGATGACCTCGGGGGTGACGGAGAGACGACAAACGCAGCAATCCCGTGATGTGTGTGATGTGCGCCGCATGCTGTTGCTGTCCGTACCCTCACGGCACGAACGTTGGTCCTTGCAGGACATATTGGAAGACTGGCACCTGCGGCGCAGGCCTCTGCAGGCACTGATGGCGCTTGTGCAACAAGTGTGTCTTCGCCTGGACTGCTGTGACACAGGGGCAACGAATGCAGCAGATCATTATCGATGCACAGCAGGTTCTCCTGCCCCTGCTTCACAGCCGAACCCGCTGTTTGTCAATCCGTGATGCCGCCAGATCAACATGTGCTCTGGAATGTGTGCACGGTGCGATCGGTGGTGCAGCATCATGGCCCAACCTACAAGGCAGGCCATTGCACGGCCGTTGTGCTACAGGAGTTTCCGCAGGCTCTTCACTCTGATGATGCCCAGGTGCCGCGGCCCATCCCAGATGCATCCGACAGGTTACTCATGATCACAATACTTCGTATGGCTTTCTCTGGCTTCTGCAGCTGCCTCAGGGCGTGCCATCCGGCAATCTGCACCCGTCGCGCATGCAGCGCCTGAGGCTGCTACCGGGAGTGTCGTGGAAATGCCTCTCGCTGAGTTCGGATGTGTGCAGCCTTCAATGCCGAATAGCCCGGCACCGGTGTTTGAGCCTCACCCTCCGAGGTATTCACGGCGTGCAGTCCAGCAATCTGCACCCGTCGCGCATGCAGCGCGTGAGGCAGCGGCTACCGTGCGTGACGTGGGAATGCCTCTCACTGAATGCGGATGTGTGCAAACTTAAGACTTCATGCAGTGACGCATAGCCCGGCATCGGCGCTTGCGCCTCAGCCTCTGGGGTATTCAGTGCGTGCCGTCCAGCAGTCTGCGCCAGTCGCGCATGCAGCGTGTCAGGCAGCTGCTACGGCTGCCACCGTGGGTGTCGTGGGACTGCCTCTCGTGCACTGAGCTCGGATAGGTGCAGCCTCCAGTGCCGAATCACCCGGAATCGGCGTTTGAGCCTCAGCCTCTGGGGAATGCACTGCGATGCCCGACGGCAGCGTCATCTGAGGGTGAGAGCGGCGTAGAGGAGAGTAGCGAAGCTGTGATTGATGAAAGTACTAGCTTTGTCATTGGTTCGCTGTTCGGGTGACGTCTGTCTGGGTTTTTGACTGATGCTGGAAACGATGTTGTGGCTTGTAGCTTCTTCGGGGGGCCACTCGATCGTATGCGGTATTGTTTGTGCAGTTGAAGTCTGCTCAGGGTTAGGAGGCGAGCGTAAATCACTTGCTTTTCACGTGTCTGACGCAAGATCGAGGACCCTCATCTGCGTGCAAGGTCAACAGTTCGGCTTCGGGGTTTCCCTTAATCGGGCCATTGGCTCCTGGGATACCTCAGCAGCAACCGATATGAGCCACATGTTCTTCGATGCACATGCCTTCAACCAGCCGATTGCATCGTGGAATACTTCTGCAGTGACCGACATGAGCTACATGTTCTCTCATGCGACGGCCTTCAACCAGCCCATCGGTTCCTGGAATACTTCAGCAGTGACCAACACGTGTTACATGTTCTCTTGCGCAGGTCAGTTCAACAAGCCTGTCGGTTCCTAGGATGTTTCATCAGTTACTGACATGAGCTGGATGTTCTGGAACGCGTATGTCTTCAACCAGCCCAGTGGCTCCTGGGACACTTCATCAGTGACGGACATAAGCTGGATGTTCTACAGCGCGTATAAGTTCAACCAGCCAATCGCTTACTGGAATACCTCAGCTGTGACCTACATGGACTCCATGTTTAAGAATGCAAGTGCCTTCGACCAGGACATCCGCTCCTGGGGTACCTCAGCTATGACCGATATCAAGGACATGTTCTTGTTGGCAGCACCTTCAACCAGCCCATCGGTTCCTGGAATACTTCTGCAGTGACCGACATGAGCTACATGTTTTTGTTTGCAAGCGCTGTTGATCAGACCTGAAGCTTGCAGAGGTCGCAATGGGCAAAAAATTGCCCCAGCCGTTGAGAGTCGTAGAATTCACGGCAACGATGGCGGACGCTGGGGTCCTTATTTTATTGTTTGGGGTTCTAGGGCCTCGGTGTTAGGGCTATGCTTGACCTTGAAGGTTGTATGAAATGCAGGGAATTCTCTTTGTGGTTGACCGCCCAAGACACGCCCAAAGCCCTACAACCCCAAACGTAACCCGAAACTGTGTTATTGCAGGTCATCGTACAACATCATAGAAACCCAAGGACCAAGCCGCGCCTCGTGCTTGGTCTCACTGTGGGCTCGTGTTTTTTTGTGGGCGTAGGTTTGCGTTCAGGGTTTTGAGGCATGTAATGTCCATGCACTCAGGGCAGGGTCTTACGGTTCAGGGTGCAGGTTACAATGGAGGATATGGAGGCAGGTGCCCGCAGGATGTTAGACTACCTGAAGCCGACATACTGTCGTCTCCAGTGTAACCTGAAACCCTGTGTGAATCCCGGTTTCCGTGACAGATAGACGTTCAAAGTCCTACGCTCCATAACATTCCATAACCAGTTTACAAGCCCGACAACCTAATGTTGGGGCTGTTGATTTTGTCATTGGGCTTGTCTGCGCATCTAGCTGTATGTTGTGCCGCGTAGAGGATGCGTGCTCCGCAGCCGATGGGGCTTGTAAATGGGTTGTTCCAGCTTGTTGTTATCAAGTTGTGAGTCCCAGAACTTCATGCACATATCATGTCTGCTGAGGCTGCCTAAGCACCCGAACGCATGGTCTAGATTTGTTTTCAGCCCTTCAACAGCCTTGAAGTTAGGGCCAAGCCATCTTGCATATTTTCGGCCGCCCCCACCGTCAGCGATGAGCCTGAAGCTTAGTCGGCTGGCGGGCATGGTGGGGGAAAACCAGGGTCGCGCCTAGCTGGGTTGGCCTTAGACTCCTATATCCCTGTTGCACTGCATAGACCTGACAAAGAAGAAGCTGTAAATCCAGCTGCTACGGCCGTCAGCGTGGCATCTTCCTAGGTTGCTCCCGATGAAACACGACGGCTCACGGAACGCTACGTCGTAGGTTCCTAGAGCGGAGGCCTTACAAAATCTCGAGCAGCACCGCTGGATCTCGAGCCGCAGCATACACCAGCTTTTTCTCACCGTTCCGGCAGATTCCGCAAAGGAGTCTTGAAAGCAAACTTACCCCTAAATCTTAAAGCTTTGAAGACACCCACAAAGACCAAGGATCCGAATAGTGGCACGGCAGTTTTCTTGGCCCATGTTCTTGGTGGGGTTGAGGGTCAAGCTCAATTTTGTGACCAGTGTTAGCAAGCCAGTAGTACGCCTAACCAGAATTCATGGCTACAAGTTCTTGTCAAGCTACTTCCGAGCTTGGGCATTTGCGTCGAAACTGGTTTTGCAGCCAGCCATCATAATAGTTAAAGGTCAACATCGATCAACCAGAAATCCCAACTCAATGAAACCAATTATCATAAAACTGCTGGCCTTTGGTAGCAAGGTGACGGCTTGGGATTCCACTCCTAATCCTAAGCCTGACGAAGAAGACTCTGAGCTCTGCATCCGTTCAACCCGGAAGCCATAATCAGAAAAGAAACCCAATGAACCTGAGTCTCAGTTTCAACCCCGTAAGCCCACGACTCGAGGCGGACACCATGCCGTCCCAAGCACGAAGACCATCACCACCCGCATGGCCGCTTCCGGCCGGAACGCCCCACCGAAGGCCCAGCTTCGAATGCCTACGGATGGCAGGGCAGAGGGGATGTGGGTTTGTGAGCTGAGGGCTTTGCTGCCCGGTACATGGGTGTAGAGCACGGAAAAAATCGCAAGAAAAGGATGGCATGGAGCAACAGCACAGCAGCAAACGTCCATAGCAGGCTGTCTGGAGTTGAGAATAGTCCTTCCCTGTCGCCTCTGAGCCCTTCCAAAAGACTCCCTCCCACCATACAAGGCTTCTGTTGACGAATCCAAGTTCTCAGCGGAAACTGAAGCGCCAGAACCCACATGCTACACCGTCTTGCTGCATCGGAGTGACCTTCGGGGACGTGTGCCGACTCAACAAGCGAAGTCAGCATCTGCAAAAGGTTCAGGGATGAGGTCAAAACACCAAACACTAAATAAGCCCAAACCTTAATCCTCAACCCTAAAGGTCCAAACCCAAGCCCCAAACCCTCAGCCCTAAAATTTCAACCGACTCCGAAACCTAAACCCTAAGACTCCAAACCCGAATCCCGAACCCGAAGCACGCTAATTCAAATACTATACCTGTCTACCACCCCCCAAAATCCTATCTTTTGCAGAGTCGCCCTGAGACCAACGCCAACAACGTTGCGACAATGCTGGCCATGCAGAAGAAGAACAAAGCCGTCTCTCGAGCTGTCGCCTAAGGAGCTACTGGCACTCATGGGTCGTCCAAGAGCGTCTGGATTTTGGGAGTTTTGGTGGAATATAGGGTTGCAAGCGATCTCACCGGCTTTTGGAGTCCTAGGGATCGTTTCGCGGTGTTGGGGTCTTGTCTTGTTTGTTCTGGTTTAGGTGGCTTCGGGTTGCGATCCATTGCTCTTCTGAAACACACATTGCAGCCCCAAGACACTATCTCTTTGGGCCTGCTCAGGCAGCAGTGTTTCGTCCCCGAACGCCAACCAACCCGGGCAGCAACTCTATTTGCCACCAAGCGCTCCGGGACGCCATGACAAAGCATCTCTAAGCATACACGAGCTCGATAGACAAAAGCCAAATCCTGATGAGATCCCAAACGTAAGGTCGAGAATGCCCGCATGCTCCGGGCCAAGTTCACGGAGTTGCAGGAGCTCTGACCATCACAAGGCTTCCGGATTTCAGAGGCCTGCATGGTCAGAATTGGGTTTGCAGGCGTGGCTTATAGTTAGCTTTACTAGGGGAAGACTATTACTGAATACGACCACGAAGTATTACAATTACCTCCTTCATGTTCTGCACTATGTTGAAACCCGCATGCGCAGGCCCCTATAGACCCTAAACCAGAGACCCTCAACTTTGAGGACCCTGAACCCAAGCATGGGTTTCGTGCTTGCAGGGCTTTGTAGCTTTGCATCGTTAGCCGTGACACCCGGTGTTCCACCGACCCTCAAAGCCCAAAGCACAAAGCATCCTAAACCCTTCAGCTCGAGTGCCTCCTCAAGGAGAGGTCCCTTTGTCAATGGAGGGGGTCTGTGATTGCAAGGAGGATCTTATCTAATTGCAGCCCTCCGATACAGCTTTCCCAAGTGAAACTGTTGTGTGAAAGCTTATGCAAGACGGCTTGGGCTTTGGAGGGGCTTGTGCTTGAGTTTTTGTAAGGAGTGATATCCAACTGCCAGCTACAACCATCGAAGCTTGAGTTCACGAGTGCCAAGATTTTGTATCCGGAACCCGACTAGCAAACTTGCATACCAAAACTATAACTTGACCCCTAAGCAAAGTCATCTCTCTGAGCCCTGAGCCTTACCTACCCATCAATCATCACATCCCAGCAAAGGAGTCTCCAGACGGTGCAGACCTTGACCCACTGACAATCCCGAAGTGCGTCGAGCGACTGGGCTGCGATTGATTTTGGGGCCCTGGGTTTGGGGCTTAGGTTCAGACCTGCCATTAAGTCGTTCGTCTTCTTCTGGTGGTCATGCTGCATGTGTTCCTGGCAAGCATATGGCGACCACTCAGTATTCACTACCACCAAGTCGCCTCTGTCCAATGCAGTGTTTGCTGTCGTTTGCTCGGAGATGATAATTACAATTAAAGAGGGGAGAGGCGTGTCAGGCAGGATGAGGATTCTGCTCAAGAAGATTCAAGAATTTGGAGCCTTCATCAAACAGAAATGCACAAACTCTTGCCGTCGGGATTTCAGCTTCGGTTCAGGACTTGCATTCTAGGGCTAGACTGCCCGAACCCATAGTGCAGGAGAGTTGACTGCAGACCGAAACCCCTAGCCCTCAGTCCTAGACCCTCGCCAATAAAGCTTAAACCACCCGAAAGCGCAACTTCGTGGTTGGGAACAAAGGAAAAGCGAAAGAACGACAGTCCATTTCCGCACCGGCTTCCCCATGCACATCCTCAGATCTTAAACCCCGGGACCTTCGCAAAGCACGGATCTCGTATGTTTGCCGAAACTTTCAGGTGCAGCCACTGTGGATGGCCTGTGTACCCTCGGGAAAGCAAGGCCAGTCACAAGGGGCACGTCCATTTCTTCGATTCCTGGGTTCAAAGAAGGGTCTAGGATCATTCATATAAGCCCTTTTGGTTCTTCGTGTAAGGCCTCGTTCTCTCGAGATCCTGGAGATCAAGGGCGAATGCTCCGAAACGTCGGAGGGACGAAAGCAGAGCGGGGCTAAGACGACTTGGGTTGCTTGGTGGTATTGAATGCCTGTAGTTTACCTGGATGGCATGAGGATCGTTTAGATCCTGTGCTGTGCGAGAGGTTATGCTCGGCTGTCAGCCCAAGGATCGAAAGCACGCGGATACGATGAGGTTCAGGGTTCAAGGTCGTGGGTGTAGGGTTCAGAGGAATCAGGCTACAAGTTAGCTTCAGAGCGTGTCTCCACGTTGGAATTGGCAGGTGAAAAGCTACAGACCAGACCCTGTAAGATGTAAGTCTCAGCTTTCGCCTGGTGCA